ACACAATTGTAAACAAATCCCTTGTCAAAAATATAAATGCAATGGAGACAAAAGTATTGACTGCCTTTGATAATCCGAACATTAAAGCATCAAGAGTAACTACCCATAACAAACCATTCAGTAACGCATGTTGCAATGCAAGAAATTAATTGAAATGATAACTTTATTATATTGAATTTCTATCATCTTTCCATGTTATAGTCATTCCTAGGAGATCGTGGTAACCCACTCTATCACACTCTACACGACACCTTTCATCTGGTCGCTAAATTAATGGATCCARCCTTCACGTACCACCAGGCTACTGCTCGAGTAATGGGTCACGTGTTATTCTTGCTTGCTGACTCGAGTATTATTCCCTTCAATGGAAGTCATTATGCATATCGCATTGGTCAGTTTCGTGATAGTTTGGTGGACCTCGTGGGTGGTCATCTTATTGACAATCGTATTTCACTAGGTGAGTGCCCTCTTCTCCATTCTTCGTTTTTAAATTACGTCACATCGACCATTTTGGTTGAACTTCAACAAAGGATTTCTCATTAGTATCTATTGTTCCTTCCTCAAACATGGCCGCCGATCTTTTGTCTTTTGCTTAATCTCATTGAATAATTTAAAATAGGCAATTTGTAAAAGTATTACTCTTCTTTAATGCGAAGCACCACTAAGAGAACAAATTAATAAAATTACTATAGTTAGTCCAGAAACGTTTCATATATACTCCCAAAAGCACTAGGTAGCAGAGACACCAATRTTCCCTCCGCGGAAAGAACTTTGCAGTTTCCGCTGTCAGTAYTTAAGACGATTTATTATTTCTAAACTTCTTCCTTTACACACCAAAAACACAAAAGTGCAAACTAATGATAACCGRACATTCAGCTGTGTTGAAAACAYAGTTATTCTTTTARAMATTTTCCGGAAGCTGATTTGGAAAGATCAGAGAGAAGSGAAGAGAGGATTTCGTYCTCCTACGTCAATCGGCGGGAAACACARGATCTTTTCTCTGTTTAATAAAATAATAGCATATTTCCGTTTCCTAGCTTTGCCCCTAGCATATTAACAAACTATTATCGTCATATGGACATTTCAAAAACAGTGAAGTGCGCTACATTGTTTGACCTCGTTATTTTTAAACTAATATAAGGCGTGCAGAGTGAACATCAATAAGTCAGCAAGTTGTTTTCCTTATAGAGTTACTTCTTGTAGCACATTATCAAACCGTTAACACAATAATATATTTAGAACATTACTACAGTGTTTCGAGAACTTATTTTGTTTACCCACACATTTTGTGCGAATTTTGTATTCACCTTTCTCTTCACATTATATTCTAATTTAGATGTAATATATATTTTAATGTTTGGTAATGTTGCTATGAAAATAAAAGCTATATTTCTTATTGACTGGCATTATTCTTGGTCTGTTACAGATAGCCTGAATRTTGCTATAAAAAAGTTTGCAGAKTCAGCAGAGGCGTTCCAAGAARTCATAAAGCACACGAGTCCAAGTGATACACAGAACATCCTCCTCATAAATAGCCGCTTGATTGCTTTGGAGAAAGCGTTTCTTTATAACGGTGACGATCCTATCATTCCTGAAGCTACAGCGAGAAAGTAAGTCTCTCAAGAAAAAGAAAATAGTCGCCATCTTAAAAAATATTCAAACCATTACATAACAGCGAGATAACTGTCTATAGACGTGCAATCATTATAGAAATTTATAGCTGAAAGTCGTTGCAAAGCTCATTGTATTCTTCAATGCAGCTACGTTTAGAGATGGCACAGGCAGCTGAGAAGTTGTCTATGCTCAAAAATTCAAAATTCAAAATGGCCGCCACAACGGAGAAAGAATTGAAAGTGCGCCATGTTTCAACTAAATGAAATGCCAAAAAAGCCATACAACAAAGAAGTTGCCTGACTGTTCAACAAAATATAGTTATCCCGCGGCAATATAAAATTACTGCACGGCAGATACATCAAGTATAGAATCCATTTGTTTATATTGGAAAACGATCTATAATTTTTCTATTTCATTAGGTTTAAATGCTTGGGTCCAAAAATTCTTTCTTGATTTATCAAAGGAGACCATCTTGAATTTTTCAACTCCAATAATGAGCCAAAACTAGAAGACTTAACTCACAGGGGTACTTTAAGTAACTTTTTTGCATGATATTGAGCTCGAAAACGACATGCATTTCACGGCCACTATTCTTTCTTTGTTCCAATATTGCGTCCATTTTGGATTTTTGAAGCTCGGAGTACTTGATCAATGCCGTCGTACCCAGATCCTTCTCAACGGAAAATCGAAGGCTCTGTTTGGACACGATACCGTAAGACCCAAAATCTGGTTCGTATGATATGATGCAGTGCATGGGGAATTTTGAATCAATCAAATCAAAGAATCATTCGTTTCCAACCAGAGCGCTCGATTTTCCGTTGGAAAACTGAGAAGGATCTAAGTAAGAGAACAAGKACTTGATTTTAAGACTCCTTTTGCCAAGGTTGCTTTGAGCTTCAATTTGATGTTTTTCTTTACCACAGACATTGTCTACTAAGCCGRACAATCAATGGAAAATCTCACTATTTTCCTGGAATAACAGATGCTGTTAGACGAGCCAGACAAGGCCTGGGACCATGGGAAAATGTCAAGAAACAAATATCCGTAGTAGTCTACTCGTTGTTATCAGCGACGAAATTGCTCAATCTTTCTCCAATATAAATCTTGATATCATTTCTATATTTTCTCTTTCAAGTCGAGGTATAATAAACAGTAAGATTTTGCTTATATTATGCGATGTAATCCCTTTTCAAGTAAGCAAAAWCTCATAAAGGGATTCTGGTTGACAATGTCGCGTCTTAACCACCCAACCCCAGGCAGGTGTTCTTTGTGTTGACCGAATGTAATTTAAAAGACGTTAATTTTTCCCCAAAATGCTCTGTTGCATAAAATGGAATCTGATACTGTCCAGAATTAATTGTTTTTTTGGCTCTTAAAATTGGAATTGTAATAATGCTATAAAATTTGGAGTGCATTGATATTTCCAAAAATGCGCAACTCACCTCCGTCTCAAGCAGCTAGACGAAGTGTTAAGAAAACTTGAGAAAAGCTGGAAAAGTATCAGTTGTAAATCATTATTTTGAAGATCGAATAGAACTRGAAAATTCTAAATGTCTAGTTCAAACACTAACCTTTTTTACAACTTAACTTACTTCTAAAATTTTGCCTGCCTGATATATTAATGAATAAATATATAGTCACCCAATACCACGAGTGCTTATTCTTTCTTCAAAAAATATATACAGTAAGCCGATGTACCTTTTAAGGGACTACAAATGTCACACCATCTTTGTTTTTTAACAAAATGGCGTCGCTGTACAGTCTCACCTCTACTTGATTAAATTATCAACTGAACAAAGACACATAAACAGTAACTTAGACTTTACCATTGTATTGTAAATAAACAAATATAAGTTATACTAAAACTTTATTTAAAAATCGATTTTAAAGGTCATTCACCCGACGTAATGATTCAAAATCTTCGAAAGAACAAGTGACGTAACTCTAAAACTTTGACATGCAGTGTTTTATCTATCCAAGCAAGTTATTATTTCGTAGAATATGTTGCAAAATTACGTTGAATGTACTTYAATTTTTTTAGATTGATTTTGGTCAAAGTTTTCCTTTAGAAATAGCAGTTGTTTATGCAATAAAAAGAAATAGTCTTTCGTGTGGAGAAAACTCATTCTACAACTCGCCAATCCCTTTGTAAACCATTTCCGTGATGCTGTGCCTCAAAATTAAACTAGTTTTCCTATTGTAATTAGAAKTTATCTCATAATTAATGGCTTATCTCTAGTATACTGCTGAGAAAGACCGAACTGTTTTTTTCTTTACACTGATATAGCTCTTAAATCTCAAGGATTACCAAATTATATTACGCTGCCTCAAGCTGTTTGTAATTTTTTTTTTCGGTTTGAAATCAAGATGCATACATCCTTTATAAAGGGTTAGAAGAGACAGGATAACTTCCTTATCATCAGTTAATAACAACATTGGATTTCCTCTTGAACAGAATTAGAATGTAAAGGTGAAAATGGGGTTTTATCATATAATTATCTATGAAATACCTATATTTCTCCATTTCGTAAAGTTTTGATATTTGCACTAGCACTAAAATATAATGTTATTTTCACAAATAACACATTCGAGGTTTGTCTGCATATTAGTTGAAGTAAAAAAACAACAACAAAAAAACAAAACAAAATTTGCTTTCATATGTAATTTTATAATAAACAGAATATTACATGGTCGCTTGGAGATACGGATTTTATCTTCCCGTGTAGAAAATCTCTCACTCGTTCGAGATCTTTTCAACACTCGAAGATAAAATCCGTATATATCCGCGCGCCCATGTAATATCCTCTATGTYTGAAATCTATGGATGGATATTGCGTGCAAATTTTTGTCTTCGGCTGAATTAGTGATTACAAAARTTAAAACTACTACACGTGCGCTTTCTTGCTTGKCGCTTAGAAGRAAAATCAAAAATTCTTGCATGGTAGTGATGATTGAGTACAAAGTGATTACTGCTCAATTAGCAGCTGCTTACACTCGAAAAAGTAATAAGCATACTGAATAATCTATAACACCTATATGTTCATTTTATGAGGAGAGGGTAGCTGAATGAATGAATATTTCCATGGCTATCTCAAAGTTCGAAACAAGTAGTACTACATAGCTGCAGAACAAAGTGTAGATTAGAAAAATAGAAAACAAAGGAATAATTGAGTACAATTTCACAATATTTAAATATTACAAATGGTTTTTTTGGTGCGTTTTAGTATTTTTAAGATTTATGCAAAGTTTTCCCATGCAGAATTGAACCTGCAAGGAAAACAAATTTTCAAATCGTAAAGATATGAATATGTAGTCTGCAGGGCACTATGAGATACATGATATGGAAATATGGAAATATGGAAAGTTATAGCACTTAGAAAGCCGTGAGTCCCTGCTTCGTCGGAAATTAATTTTTCCAAAATAAAGTTTATTTCCGAGAGTCTTTCGACCGGAATAAGYTCCTTCTAAGCACTATAACTTACCATATTCACAATGATAAAGAGAAAAGAAAACAATGAATTAAGCATGTAACCAAGTATTATTTGACATTTCTTTCGGCCAAATGAAGATGACTCAAGTTTACATACTTTCATGAACATTGTCAAAGTATAAACGGCAAATAATACATGAGTGTAAACAGGAAAACATTTATTTATCATCACTRTCAATTTTTTAAAGTACGCCTCTTCTATACCCTTAATTCGTTTCGTCAAAACAAAAGCCAAACGGATAAAAGAACAGTGCTTAAAAAACATACAAACTAAATTGTCATAAATGTTTGATATTTGCACACTTATATACTAGGCAGCCAAATTTCCTTATTTGACGCATTTGTGACGCCGTATGTTGCTTTGAAGTTCATCAAAGTCTCTTTAGCTAAGAAACGGTTATTGACAAATTGCATTCACATTTATTCAAGACATATATGACAAATGAGCTATGGCCTGGGGCTAGCTGTCAATCAGTTCTTTTAGTATTAACATTTATTCAAGAAATATATGACAAATGATTGATTTGCTAAGGCCTGGGGCTAGCTGTCAATCAGTTCCCATGTCTTCACGTCCATCAGTATTGTACGTGGAATATGTTTTCATATTTCTCCTCAACACGTGAAAACTGACGAAAAACAAAATAGTTCTAAATATCGCAATATGGAGTGAAGTCAAAAAACTTTTGAAATAGATATTACACTAATGCTTGGTAAGCCCTAATTGAATTAATTTCTGTTGTGTCTATTTGACTATCACACTTGAACAGGTAGATTTTGTTTCACGTGTTAAAAGACCAGTAAGTGTTACGTTTCCGCTAGCTTTMCGCTGGTTTTACGTTGTGTTTACGTCGCTAATGATCATTATTCGCGTCACATTGCTTCGAAAACGTACACAATTGTATGTTGTTAAATTTTCTGACATTTTAAAGACTTGTCGTCGGTCCCCTTAAATCAATGTTGATAAACTATAATCTCCCAGTGTTTGGGAATAAAMTGTTCAAGTTTTCAGAGCTCCATGGCTGAGCTGTGCATGACTGAGTATTGTCAGCTCGCAAACACCAGGCAATGTCGAATCACAGACAAAGGAGTCAAGTTTTTAGCTTTTTTATATCAAACTAGACCCTTAAAACTAAAAAGCAATGAAAATATTTGATTGTAAAAGCAAGCAATAATATTTCAGGTAAGAAATTGCGATTGGAGTTTTGAAATAGCAGAAAGTAGCAATCCCTAACATTTTCACAGTCACCAGTTTGGAATTGCAAAAAAAAAAAACATGAGAGGTTTTGCAAATTGACTTTTTGAGGTAACATCTCTTGACGAACATGAATCGTCATATTATTGAGTTGTGTCACCATGGGAACAATGYAATAAGCGTTTTGATTGGTTCAACGACTGACCAATAAATGGAGAGCATCATAGCAGCTGAAGTATTTCATCAAAAGTCTCCTAGTACTGATTAAAATACAACAAATCCAGGTTCTACTGCGCTTGAAAGAGGCATAGAGTGACGATAAATAGCGAGCGGTCAAGGTATTGTGAAATAATCTTTTTCTCAGTTCAAAACATGGATAATTTATTGCTTTAATTCATTATTTTTTGCTAGTTGTAAGTGGATAATATCTGGTGTAATTTTGAGTTCCTGTTTTCGTCTTTTTTCTTGTTCTCAGTCATTGTTTTGTTTCAATTTCTTCTTGTAATTTTCGTAATTTTTAGTTTCTGGTTTTGGTTTCAGAGTGTTGCTTCATTTTCGTTGTTGTTTTCATCCATTTTCTTCCTATATTTTCTTTTTCTGAGTTAAACAACTCTTATTATCTTTTCTATAATTCAATCCCTTACTTAGCTTACTAAATAGCCTTTTTTTATTTGTCCCTTAAGCTAGTTTATTGTTCATGCTGGACAAATCTTATTCATGAAATATATTTTATTTTATTATTTTTTTATTTTTTTTTATTTTTTTATTTTTTATTTTACGGTGAAGCCCTTGCTGTGAAATACCGCCCCACTTTGGCGACAGACAATTATAATTTCATAAAATAACTGTTAATTGTAAATACTTTGTTTTTTTTTCTGTGTTATATACTGATATGTTTATAAAAAAGAGCCAATGCAGGAGCCAATGTTTGTATATTGCTTTTTTGCTTCAAAACATCATATTAGAGTTTTATTATTTATGAAGGATATGCTGATTAATATTAATATGTCTGTTCTAGAAAAGTTTATAGTCGAGTTTCGCGATCTCTTTTAAACACTGTGTTAAAACATCAACGTTTTCTGAAATGCCTGATTGCAGGCTTGCTGTATCATGTTTTCTTTAAATGATTTAAATGATTGCAAAGAGCTTTTTCTTCCATAACAAGCACTCAATGATCTTTATATATTATTAATTTTTTTCTCGCTTTTCAAGTGTTATTCAGGATAAAATTATGCAAATCAATTATTCAATAATAACATATTTAATTTTTAACCGCTATTTTTACTGAATAATATTTGAAATTTCTCCAGTAGTTTTAATAAGTAATAGTTTATAAATGGTTGAAAACATGAATTTAGCCAATGAAATAAACATGCAATGCGCACATTTAAATTGCTTCTCTCTAGAGCAAAAACTGGCYGGTTTTGATTTACAGCGAGCTATTTCGGCAGAAAAAGGTAAGTACTGAAAAAAGTGCATTTATAACGATCTCTTTACTCCAACAAAGTATTAACGTGCGAAACGTCAGTAAGTTATTTCACATCCTACTTTTTTACGGTGTTAAATTTATCTTTTTACACAACTGTTTCTTTAGAAACACCGACGCAGCTCACACTAGTTTACCGCTAGCTCCCACCATTTATAACAAAATACATTGTAGGTCGTCGTAAGACTGTTCTAAAAGAGGTTTCACATTTTTATGCTCAAATGCGAGCTTTATACGCTCATTAAAAAAATGTTGTTGTTTTTTATATATAGCGCCTCTTACGTAGAGTTCATTACTGAGCAACAATACATTTGCGGTATTGCCAGTGTCACAGCGTTTGGTACTCAAGGTTTTTTTTTATATTGCTGTAAGCTTATAAAAATATAATAAAAAATATACATGAGTTAAGAATCCGCCCAGAAAAGCTCAGTGATAAAGCATTATGATTTGCATAATAATGTCAAAATCGTTTTTTTT